AGGTTAGCTGAAAAGTCGGTTCTGGTAGTTGTCTTATCGACCGATAGAGATGTACATAATTTTGGACATGTAAATCTTCATATGCCAGTCGATAGCCTTTTTCACAAGCTACAAAACAGTATATTTTTCAAACTCCGAAAACACTGGTCACGTGAGGAATCCCGAGCACACTATCCGCGAGACACGATTTTGTGCATCTTTGATCGGTATTTAGCTGGTTTGCGCCAGAAGAGTACAAGTTGAGTCAAAACTAATACCATATTTGGAATCTCAATTATTCCTTTCTTCTTCTTACTACACTTTTTGCTTATGTTACCTCTTACAATTGCAGCAGTTGCATTTCTTGGTTGCTGTTGACGTGCTACCGCAGCACGAGTAACCGCTACCCTTCTTTAATTAGCAATGAATAAAACACGTGAGAATGAATTCTAAAATAGAGAATTTGAATAAGAGTGCTTTTCCAAAAAGTCAATGTAAGAAAAAGCAGGCAGAGCGAGGAACTTATATTTGCGCACGGACAAGCGAACAAACTAACGGCATATTCTCTCTCTCTTTACCTAGGGGAACGAATACACTGACTACAATGCACATATATTCTGATTAGGCCGACACGAAATAAAGGAAATAGATAATAGATGACGAAAGGAAAAGTAATCATCTCGTTCGTGCCTTAAGAAAAATATTCGAGGGTATCGAACGATGATGCAGTGTGGGTCAAAATGCAAGAAGGTTAAAGAAGAAAACAAAACAAAAGAAAGATATGCGTTTATGGCGACGTAGTCTTGTAAAAGTACTTTTACAATTCGATAACGTACCAATCGAAGCATAACTGATTCATTAATCTCATCTACTGTGCACGTTGTCAAAATTCCAATGGAACTTGGGCAATAAAATACCTAGCAAAATTTAGTATTGTCGTAATTCCGAAAGAATTTGGATAATAAAATACCCAGCGAAAATTGTTATTGTCATAAGTTCGGAAGAATTTAGATAATAATGGAAATTCGACAATATTAGCGAAATTCCTATTGTCGGATTTCCATAAATTTGTCCGTGGAAATCTGATAATGAGGGTATCTTCATTGCGCTCAATTTATTTTTCAGTAAATAAGTGCAAGTAAAGACATAAATATACAGAGTGATAGAGAATTCCGAACGCTGTCAGAATATGGGATTACTTTTGTAAAAGTATATCTGTATAAGGAAAATATTTTTAAACAAATCCCCTAAAAACATCTATTTTCAAGGCGACACCATAGTAAAATACACAGTTCAGTTTCTCAAAATTAAAAAATTTCGCTGATTTTTTTCTTCCAAATGGTACAATAAAATTCTAAATCGTTCATATCTAGAAGCATGACTATTCTTCCAAATGATATAAAGTAAAATCAACGAGTCCTCTAAACACTGGCATCAGCTGACAAGCTCAGAGAAATAGTTAGCTGAAACATCAACTCATTTTCTTTCAAGCATAAATGCTGCAGAGCTGCAAGTGCGGACAGGAGTTGGCCGTGATGTTGCCTTCCATACTATAAGCTTCAGACTTTGGTATATCTATTGCTTATTCTAAGAATCTACAGAATAATTGTTTGTCTATACATCCGATTTCAAGCTGAGTTGGTTGTGAACGTCACTATTGCATAAGCAAATTGTGGTGTATTCATTCGAATTCAACCCTCTACCGACAAGATAATAGTAGTAAGTTTAGTGTCTGAGATACTCACGCCATGAATACTTTCCAACATAAATCATAATTGCGAATTTGTCGTTCACAAGTGTGAAGTGTATGTAACGCTAGTATCATTAAAGTAATTATGTTATTCTGACTTCTTCTTCCTGTGCACCTGATATCAGCATTGAATAGTTTTCTTTCTTGCGTTTCATCAGTTCTGATTGATTGACGATCGTCATTGTTCTCAGGTGAACAGACAATTGCAACCAAACAAATTGGCATATAACCATCATCTGAATCAATCAAAATTCGATATACGCAATTGTACTCTGTCGCTACCGTCTCCGTCAGTATCTACTTAAGAGAATGGTGGCTTAGCTGTTGAATACGTGGACAACGGTTCATCCTTAACTGGTACTATGCGCATATGAACTTTGAATTTCTTCTGCCTTCATTGATGATCTCGACGTATATGACAAGGCTTTCTTCTCATCTAATAAGCGTTGCAAAAAGATGAACTATTTTCCCTCTCGATTATAGTACTTACAAAGTGTATCCTTCACCCACTTATATTCGTGCTACTGTCCAATAAGATCGTCGTGCACTGTGACATGCCTCTCTTGTTTTCTGTTCTGTTTCGGCGAAATCTAGGGGAAAACAACTGATCTAGGATTCTGATGACTCTGATGACTTCATCGACTCACTTGATTTTGATGACTTAAATGATCTGAAATACTCAAGATCATTATGAATTCTTTTTTAGTAGCTAGCTTTTCATGTTGTTGCTGTTTAACAATTTGATAAGTGCCATCCAAAAATAGCGAGAACACCATTCTATTTGTGACTATTAGTGTCTAACAGCTTCCATGATATGTTTTGAGCAGACTGAGAACATGAAGGTTTCAGCTCTTATGTGATTGTATTCATAGAAGTACATGAAGATAGCACAAGAACAAAACGACCTAAGAATACAGATACATGAGAAAAAGACAAAACAAACGAAAAACAACAAGAACACGAAAAACATCTTGTGGACGGGTGAGGATTGGTGAGTAGGTGACAGTGGGTGGGCGTGGGTGAAGAGTGACGGTGAAGGTGAGTTGTGGAGAGAAGACGATAACCCTGATTCACCCACCCACCCTCACCCTCAACCACCCCCACCCCGACCTTCACCCACCTACTCATACCCATCCGCCCACTCTCACCAACCCATCCAGCCTCACCCTCACCACCACCCGCCACTCACACCCACACTCTAAATGTTTGATTAATCATTCTTGGTAGAAAAGGAAAGAAAGTGACACAAAACTAAAGACAAATGTTTGAAGATTTGTGGAGAATTAAACTTGTTTATTTGTGAGTAAAGAATCATTTATAAGACTATCTTTAGATTTAGATAATGATAAATTCAAATTTAGTTTGTTTTCTCTGATGAAATAGGTTTACAGATTCATACTTTTTATTTTTGTTCAAATTAGAAAATCCGAAAAGATACATCAACAAATTTTTTATTTATTCTTAATATGATGAAATAAATTCTGAATTTTTATCATCATTTTAACAAGTGGAACATAATAAATAGGTGATACTTACATTCGCTTTCTCTCTCTATAACTCCAAAAATACAAATTATTCTGTTTTATTCTGTTTATCTATATTTGACAATTAACAGAGGTCGGCCCAAAAGTAAGGTAAGATCGAATTATTTTCATTTCTTTCTTAATAGTGCGATAGTTAGATTTCATATTTGGACCACATATAAAATATGATAACACTCAGAGAAACAGCTTGTCAACGGCCTTTGCCTTCAAGAGTGTGTTGAAAAACGTGCAAATATCTCTCGTTCACTCCAATATGACTGTCACAAAAGTCCGTTATTTTTTATGAAAATCAACTCATTTTTTTTCGTACTACCCCGTTTTTGACTAGTTTTCTATACAACAAGCGTAAAGCGACATAAGAGTAAATTGAATTCAAATCATTCTGTACATTTTGATGCAAATAAATAAAAAAATAGAAACAAAATTCGATAAGAAAACTATGAAGTTTTTGCAATAATCATATGAGAGTACAAAAGAAACATTCGCGAGTTTTTCAACAAACTCTTAAGGACAACGAGTGATGATAGGTCGCTTTTCTGAGTATTATCATATAGTATATGTGGTCCAAATATGAGATCTAACTATCCCTCACGAACAAAAAAAGGTTTCTTTTTCAATTGTTTCGTTTTCCTTCATTATGTGTTATTATACCTCTATTTACATATCTACTTATAAGTTATAGAGTAAACTGTACATGTACATATCCATTCCATTTTACTTGCTAGTTGTTTTAGATTTGTTCGAAATAGATAAAAATGTCTGATTTTCGTGATACTCACGAGGGAACATCTCCATGAGAATATCTCGGTAACAGTATCTTCTTTCTAGCTCAAACGTTGGAAAATTTCTAGTGTCCATAACACCTATCTAAAGACAAACTTTCACCTCGAAATACGACTATTCAGATTGTCAGCAAATTCTATATCTTTAGCTCGAAAATCGAGTAAAATGTCCATAAGTCAACAAGAGAATATCGGAAAACCAAATCAAAACAGACTTTTTCACTACTCAACAAGACCGATCAAATGGCAATAGTCTCAATCGAAAAGTGATTGGATATTGGGGATGTTCCCTTGTCAGTATCACGAAAATCAGACATTTTTTATCTGTTTCGAACAAATCTAACACAACAAGCAAGTAAAATTGAAGGGATATGTACATGTACATGTACAATTTACTCTATAACTTATAAGCAGATATGTAAATAGAGGTATAATAACATATAATGGAGGAAAACGAAACAATTGAAAAAGAAACCGTTTTTGTCCGTGAGAGTATCGAACTATTAAGAAAAAAATGAAAAGAACTCGGTATTACTTTACTTTTGGGTCACTCTGTATACCTTTCACACAACTTTTATTCTGTAATGACAAAATAAAACATATTGATAGTGGAATCAAAATTAGTCTTGTTCGCAAGGTTGAAAAACAAAGATCAAATAAAATTGTTTTTATTCTCAAATTAAAAGAATATACATGAAAATTTTCAGCACAAATATAGAACTCCAATCGTTCTATTCTGCCACAGATTGGCAATAGAAAAAAAGAATGTGAAAAGAAGTCAGAAGAAGCGAATGTAAATATTAAGTATTTATTATGCATCATCTGTGCGATATCGGTTTCAATAAAAAAAAACAGTTACTAGGTGTGATAAACGAATTGATGATGAAAACTATTTTGTATAAAATATACATAGGAACGAAAAAAGCTACCCAACTTGTGTTTTACATGTCGGTTGCTGATCAAACATCTATGATGCAAATGTTCAAAATGTATTCTTTAGTTATTTATTTGATGTATGCCAAAGGTTTGTTTATTTCTTTCTTCGAACTTTTATTTATCATTATTATAAATGTAAAATAGGACAAATGCGAGAACCATCTGAATATCCTTGTGTTAACACTAATTTTACTGTGACATTTACACTCTCTGACTCTTCTCATTCGGCATGGAAATCTTCATCAAATTGTTCTCTCTCTCAGTGCAGCACCAATAACAATAGTTGTCGCTTATCAATGACACCATGTTTTGATTATCATACAATTAATAATATTAGTTATTGTGCACCTGCTAGTCTTTGTTCCATCTTAGAAACTTGTGATAATATTACACATACATGTTCATCAAGTGCATCTGTATGTGTTGTTAATTCATGTTGTGTAACAAAGACAATATGTTTACCATTATCATGGACTACGTTGTGTACATCAGAAAGTCTGTTTTTTGTCATAAAGAGTTTTTCTATTCAAACTAAAAGATTGTAGCAAGTATGACATCAATGACCAACAATCAGGTGACACAGTCAAACGTCGAATTTTCAACATCAGCAGTAATGACACAAACATCAACAGGTATAAAACGGCGCATTTTTATTGTTTGTATCTTCTACTAGATAGAAATGTGGAAATATTTATACTTTTCAATGTTTACGACTCTTCCTTGGTCGTGCCCGTAAAATATATCTTCTGTTGTGTCCTTGAAAATTTCATTTGATCATGACATTTGATGACTTCTTAAGCTTCATATTACCACCTGGGATCCGTATGGAACCCAGTCAATTTGTTTTTTAATTTTATATCTGTTCGACATCAGATGGAGCCTCGGTCTTTTAGATATCCACTAGCAAAGGATACTAGATTATGCTCAGCAAATCGATAAATCATTTTCAGATGATGTTGAAGGAATACAGTGGCTAGAAGCAAACGCAAGAGTTGATTTTGCGATATATGTTTTGAAATGTCACGTGTAAAGGAAAATAATAAAATAATGAAAAAGATTGGGTAAATATAAATCGAGTCATTTGGTTTTCTGCTTTTTCTTTTTGCAGTAAAATCTGCGTTACATTCCCTATAGATCTATTAAACTGATAATAATTCTATACATTGTTGCTGTTTTTTTTTATCCTGGAGTCCATGTGGATCCCAGATGAAGACAAGGCCACTATTTCACAGATGATGCTATGAAGGTTATTGAACTTATTAAGAAAAGTTACATGAGCACGTTGAGAAAGTCGATTTTAGGGTCGACATTAATATATACTTCTTTTTTACATCAATCAATTCCTCATATCAAACTGAGGTTATGAAAAAATTCTTAGGCTCCTGCGATTTGATTTGACGTAGTTATAGGCATCGAAACATGAAGGAATCTGAGAAACCGAAGAAAAAGTCATCTCTATTGTTTCACTTATATCTTCGTGATTTGTCATCTATTTCGTTTGAGCGACATCTGATTCGAAAGAGCTCATAAAACTGAACAAAAACCCTTTTGGATGTTTCCACACAGCTGCATCCGCTTTTTACAGGACTTTTTTCGGCTAGATTTAAGTATGCTATGGTGTGGCCCAGAATAAATGGCACCCTCAGTATTTTCTCTGTAACTCTTTTTCTTTTTAACCAAAAGGCTTAACCCTAGGGAAAATTTTTGATGGTTCTGTTCCAGATCTTTGACAGATCCGTCAAGAGTCCTGCAAGGATTCGCTGTCTTTTCCTGAGGAAACGATAAAATCCGGAAGAAAGCGTGTAGCCACGAAGTGTTCAAGATTTTCACAGGATTCAAATAAGATCTTAGAAGAAACCTGCCAGGATTTTAATGATTCCTATTGAAAAAATTCTGGTTATATGTTCCAGGACCTTAGTAGATTTCCTCTACGATATTATCGTATTTCTTGACAAGATCTTGGCAGGATTATCTAAATAGAACAGAAAAGAAATGAACACATAGAGTATTATCTCTGGATCTTCAGTTTACATACCGATCAGCTTACCCGACTGGATGTGCCATGTTATTAGATACAGTTTCAATCTTCAATATCTTCATTTCTATCTTAAATCTTAAATTGTATTTGAATTTTTTGTTATCAACATAATTATTTTGAGAAAAAAATGCACAACAAAATATTTCATTTTAAATATTCATTCTAGTTGAAAAAATTATACTATATGGTGTTTGACTTTAATTTGATTTAACAAATATTTTTTCGACCTTTTCTACAAATAGATGAAACGCACAACAGTTTTTACCGAAAGATTTTACTTCACAAAAAAAAAATAATTTATTTAAAAAAAATAGTACAATCAATCAACAGATGTGAATTCCCTAATTTAGTAATTTTCCTAGTATTATTCAATATAATATTGGACAGATCATTTATTTTATATCGTGAATATCAGATCAATTTCAATATAGAGTATATATTTTGAAAAGATTTCGAAAAGAAGCTTCTAAAAAGTTGTCATAATCTGTTTATTTGCTGCTTACGCGCAGATTTAAATTATGATCAGAATACAAATCATACTAGATTCCTATGAATTCTCACAATTCCATTACGATCAAAATAAAAACGTAATAAATCTTGAAAAATCATCCAATTTATAGAGACTTTATTCAATTTTAATATTGAAACCCTGTTGTGATTTTTAGATGTACATATTTTGGACCGATCCTGAACAACGAAACAGATAAAACCTTAATGAAACCTTTTCATGCATTCCTGTCAGGATCTTGAACAGAATCGGTTATAAATCTTGGTAGGATCCGAAATATCAAATTCTGATTACACTCTAAACCCAAGCCTGCAAAGGTCCTAACTAGATCCTTGTATGTTCTCCTGAGGATCTTGGTCATACTTGCACTATTTTGTAAGGATTCAAAACGCTTGATCTTGAACAGATCCCTGTAGGATCCTGGAAAAATCTAGGAAAGATCAACATAACAAGAATAAATCGAAGTCCAGACAGTATCCTAGACAGATCTTGAGTAAAACCTGACTAAATCTTGACTGAAACCTTTCTATGATTCTTGTCCAGATTCTGAAAAGAACTGAAAGTAAATCTTGGTAGGATCCTGAATTCTCAGTTCACAAAAAGATCTTAGCAGGAACTTGCAGAAATCCTGAGTCAATCTTAGGAGGAATCATTACATTTATGACACTTGAAGTATTCTTCAGGAATGAACAGCACTAAATAATGTGAACAGTAACCTGCAAAGATCCTAACTGAATCCTTATAATTTCTAGTCAAGATCATGATTAGGATTGGTATCATCTTGCAAGCTATGGAAATGTTCATTCTTGAACAGTTCAGAGCAGGATCCTGATGGAAACTTGGGAGAATTAATCAGTTTCAGATTTTGACTGATCTTGTCATTTTCTTGCCAAGATCCTCGCCGGATGTACTTCTAAATCCTCGCAGGATCCTGAGATGAAGATTTCGTCGAAATCCTGGTGGAAATCTATTAAAACCTTGCCAGAATCCGGTTTGATAATCCTCAGTAGGATCGCGAATGAATCCTGGAAGGATCCTGAATTTTCTGTTCAGAAAAATATCTGAGCAGGATCCTGAACAAATCCTTAACAGGATCTTGCTTAACCTTAAGAAACTCTGGCAACAGGAATTGTTAGGATTTGAGACAGGATCCTGAATAAAACTTGCCAAGATCCTTGAGATTCGGGATCCTGAAAGATGCTTCCAGGCTTTTTCAAGGAATGAACAGGAATGAGACTAGGGAATTGTCTCAATGAAAAGATGCGCCGTGAAATTCTCTACAAAGTGGCATATTCCATTCTGGCTAAACAACTTCCATCATTTTTTAAAATGAATTAGATTTGCTGGGGAAAAATGATCAGCACTTTCAAAATATAACTATTTTTGACTTTTCTTCTAATGTCATCCTATTCACTGTTTCTCGGTGACTTTTGTTCATATTTCATTTCAGTTGATAAGCAGCCTTGAATCATTGAGGCTCCAGAACTACCTACACTTCTCTCCTTGAACTAGATCAGTAAAAGTTAAAATTAAAATGAAATATGAACAAAAGTCACTGAGGAACAACGAATAGGATAACATTAGAAAAAAGTCAAAAATAGTTATATTTTGAAAGTGCTGATCATTTTTCCCAAGCAAATCTAATGCATTTTAAAAAATGATGGAAGTTATTTAGCCAGAATGGAATATGTCACTTTGTAGAGTATTTCACGGCGCATCCTTTCATTAAAAAAAATTAAGCCTTCTGGTTAAAAAGAAAAAGAGTTAGAGAGAAAATACTGAGGGTGCCATTTATTCTGGGCCATTCGATAGTTTCGTAGTGCTCGTCGAGTTATGTAGGAATTGATATTTTGTTTTAATTTCAATTACGCGTTAACTCCAGGAGAACAGGCTCAAAATCGATTTTCTCGAAATATCGTCCACAGAATATATCTGTTTTATTCTTCGTAAACGTTCTTCCTAAATTTTAATTTAACTATTGAATAGAACATAAAAATTTGTGTCTGTAAAATAATTTTCAGAACTATATCTCTAGAACTCATTGTTTGAGAGCGTTGACAAATTTGGACAAAATGGCACTTTATGTTGAAAATTACACTGCTTATAAAATGCATATATTAAGCTAACGCCCTAACATATTAAAATCGAAATAAAGTTTATACTATTGTTATTCAAACAAAAGGTGTCAGGTTTCTCGAAAGCATTCTTTTCTCTAGATATATTGATCCCAAGGATCAAAAGATCACAAAATAGTCCATTTTGGATCCCAATTTTCTAAACAACTACAAGTCAAAATTTCTTGAAAGATTTGTTTTGAACACTTCTCAATGAGCGCTAGTAGTGATTATGTGAGATCGAATTGTTCTAAGTTTAGCTAAAATTAGGGCCAAATTCCTACCGTATGACATACCTCATTGTAGAAAAGTAGAGGTTAACAATTTATGATGGGCTAATTTTAATGCTGAACACAAACATAATATCTATTGTCAATAATACAGTCCAAAGCTATTGAGAAATCGGAAAAAAAGAGGAAAAAAGCTAAATAGTTTTTGGTAGTTCTTTAAGTGTTTTCAATTTTTTTTGCGATCGCTCTGAAGTAAATTACATACGTAATATTCACTTTTCTTTTCGGATAGCAGGGAGCGATGGTGAAATCACCGCGTGAAAACTCGAATTTAATTCGTTGTTTGATGAATTGTTTAATAGACTTTCTGTTCACCAATCGTCGTTATTCTGCAGTGTAGCATGTTTGACATGCAAATGATTTCTTAAGGATGAATTTTTCGACGAAAACAAAACGTCTCCAAAACATTTGAAATAAACCCCTTAAAGAATAGAAGCCCAGTCCCAAAATTAGAATTTTTCGACAAAAATAGAGGTTCACTTTGTTCAAAATGGGCACAAATCAATGAAAAATGAAAGAAGATACATATTTCTCTTAAATAACGAAAAAACTGGCCTCAATACATGCCTACATCCAAAGTTATAGCTTGCAGAATATAGACACCCTCCATAAGCTTCTATTCTGCGGAGGGTTTACACAATAGTCGACTCAGTTTTTGATGCTGATTCAGAATATCATATTCATTTTGATCAAATCGTAATTTTTCTAACCGAAATCTGCTAAATACTAGTCAATAAGGCACAAATTCATGACTGGAAAATAATCTTCGTTCGTCTTTTTCGGCATTTTCTGAAGTTTTCGCAGCATCTTTATAAGAGCTTTATAGAACACAAAATTCTCTACAGGATGCACTATATTAAAGTTGTGTCCCGATTAGTTGTCATATTGAAAAACGGCTTACAATCAAAAGAAAGTCGGTTTAAAAAAACCGCAGTTTTTTAGATAAAGCTAATTTTTTATACCGAAACTGGACATTTCGAGAAACTTGAAAAAACGTTTTTTGTTCAGCTTTATGAGCTCTTTCGAATGAAACGTTGCCCAAACAAAAAACGGATGAAAATGATGGAGATATAAGTGAAACAATGAAGATCACTTTTTTTTCGGTTTCTCATCGCCCTTCATGTTTCAACATCTTTAACTCCGTCAAATCAAATCGCATGAGTCTAAAACTTTTTTCGTAAATCCAGTTTGATGTGAGGAATTGATTGATGTAAAAAAGAAGAATATGTTAATTTCGACTATAAAATGATCTTGTCGACGCATGCTCGACCACCTGGCAAAACCTCTCTTAACAATTATCTATTTATGAATTTATTTTTTTATTTAGGATCATGCCAATTTTCATTCACACCTATGGTTACATATGCAGTGAACGCAGGTCCCGTAGGAATCGCTACTGGTGATTTTAATGACGATAATCAAACAGATGTTGTTGTTACTAACTTTAACAATGAAACAATTAGTGTGCTTCTTAGTTATGGTAATGGAAGTTTTACAGAGCAAAAAACATTTTCGACTGGAAGATATCCAAACTCAGTTGTTGTGGCTGATTTTAATAACGATAATCGATTAGATATCGTCGTTGCTAACTGGGGTGATAGCACTATTAGCATCCTTCTAGGTTATGGTAATGGATCTTTTGCAACACAAACTGTCTTATTCGCTAACTCAAATCCGTATTGGGTTGCTGTTGGTGAATTTAATAACGATAATCTCCCTGATCTCGTTGTTATTAATGAATTCAGTAACAATACAGGCGTGTATCTTGGTGATGGTAATGGAAGTTTTACAGTACGAACAACATTTCTCACCGGATATGAACCATTAGGAGCTGTTGTCAGTGATTTTAATGGCGATAATCGATCAGATATCGCGGTTGCTAACTCGGGTGACAATACTATCAGCATCCTTCTAGGTTATGGTAATGGATCTTTTGCAACACAAAAGACGTTTTTGACTGGTAATACTCCTCGTTCGATCGCCATCGGTGATTTTAATGAAGACAAAAAAATAGATCTCGTCGTCGCTAACTTCATCAATAACAGTGTCAGTGTACTTTTTGGTTTTGGGAATGGAACTTTTTCCACACAAATATTATTATCAACCGATTCATATCCAAATGCAGTTGCTGTCGGTGATTTGAATGGCGACAATCGAAAAGATATTGTTGTCACTAATTGTAATGGTAATAATACAAGTGTATTTATTGCTTTTGACAACGGAAGTTTTACATCACAAATAACATTTGCCGCTGGGGTTTGCCCAAGTGGTGTCGCTCTTGGTGATTTTAACGGTGACGGACGACAAGATGTTGCTATCTCAAACAATGCCAATGCCAATATCGGTATTTTATTGAGCATTTGTCAATAATGAATATCTTCTTATTTTATAAACAATTTTTTTTCTGAATTTATTAACTATCTTTTATGTTTAATTAATCATTCTTGAGAGAAAATGACATAAAAATAATGACAAATGTTTTGAAGATTTGTGAAGAATTAAATTTCTTTGTTTGTGAGTAACAAGTCATTTATAAAACTATATTTAGGCTTAGTTAATGATGACTTAAAATTTATTTTATTTTCTCTAATGAAATAGATTTAAAAATTGATAATTTTTGTTTTTGATCAAATTAGAAAATTCTAAAAGACATTATGAAATATTTTATTTATTCTAAATATGATCCAATAAGGTGTGGGTGTGGTGTGAAATGGATTAAGAACTTGACTCACATTCATATCCACACCCATACCCTATTTATTTTTTTCATCTTGAACTTATTTTGAAAACAGATATGATATAATGTTTTAACTTTATGTAAGATGTATGTTCTAGTGTATCTAGTAAAAGAAAACAAATATTCAATTTATTATTGATGATTTTCCGGCTGGACTTAACTGTCTTTTACATTCTTATCTTCATGAAACATAATGTTTTTTTTATTTTTTCGCTTTGAATATTAATGATATATTCAATGAGAAAGCTTTTTAGAAAATTATCAATCGGCATATAAATCATATTTTGTTTCTTTCTCCCTCTTTCTTCACTCAACTGATTAAAAGATACAGGCAGACTATTGTTTAGTATAGCAACACTTCCAATAGCTGAACAATCTAATGAAATTTTATCTCATCTTAGAGGAATATCCTCGGATGAAAAAATATAAATGTAGAATTGATGATCAAGTTCATCTTATTATAATGGTAGAAAGAAATGACTAACTAGTCAAACATATTATGCTATTTATTGAACTTTTAACTTTTCGTTGATATGCATTATTTGAGAAAAAAACAGCAAAAATGATATTCGAACACTCAATTTTTAACATTAATTTAATTTGATGAAATATTTTTCAAAAACAATAAATTCATTTGAAAAGGTACCGTCTGCAAAAAAGGAACTTCTGAAAAATGAAAAGACTACTTATCTATTAATATGAACATATTATCAAAGCTTGTGGAAAGATTTTTCAAATATTTTCCGGATTAATATAAGATTTTCAATTAAATAATTCTTTTTCTGGTTGATCGATTGGTAAAAATAGATTTTTATCAAATTGTTTCGTATAATTATTATTAAATAATAAGGTGAAAAATCAAGCAGCTATAAAATACAGTTAGTTTCATAGAAATTGAATAAAGAGAAAATATTTAATCTATTCGTATCTTTTTTTAAGTTAGTGAAGTATTTATTTTTATGTCTGATCGTGTTGAAAAGTCTATTAGAATCTGTTTGTATCTTTTGACTTCGCCATTGAGTGATTCAATTTTCGATAATCTTATTTATTCATTGATGAGGATCAAATATAGATAGACGGTTTCTCTTTTATATGCATGGATAACATAGACAAACATAATTACATTAAAAATTGATTTATTCAACACTTATTCAGAGAACTTGTCAGTTTTTTTTATCAATGATGCATAAAATCTTTATTTTGGTTATATCAATATGAGACAGAGTTCCCATGCCGTTTAAAATACTTCGAAACCGTCGATTAACCTCAATGGATCGACGGTTTTCTTCTCCTGATTGTACTAAGCTATTCGGATCCAGTCTAGGTTGTAGCTACAATTATTTTTATTTCATCGAGGCAAGGGGGAAAAAGCGAGACTCACTCTACTCCAAAAAACAATTGGAGTACAGCTGGAGTAGGGGTGAAGTACAAATGGAGTACGCACTCTGAGTGTCTCGCTTTTCCCCCTTGATCTGAGCACATGTTGTGTGTGTGTTTGGCACTGGGTCGTCACATATATGGAGCACTGCAAAAGTTTTTTCGCCATCCATTCAAAGAAATAGTCAAAACCTGGCTCTAGTTTTGTTTTTCAAGGTATCGTCTCTAACCCTTCGGGGACGGAAAGCACATATATGTGCTTCGATTCTGATTCCATCAGCACCTGACCTAAGCCAATCTCTAACGATGTTCTAATGGCAGAAACGACGGTATAGATCATGAATTTATTACTTTCGATGTATTGTGATGTAATCGTTTGTGTTGTGTCCTCATTCACCTTCTTTCTTTCTGCAATTAGATCCATTACTTCTATTACGTCACTATCGAATAATCATACACACTATGGATTTTTCGCGTACCTTTTCTTAGTCATTTTCTTACGAGTTCTCTTTTTTCTAGTATATTCTTATTCTATCCATCAAACATATACATATATCTATATCTGCCCTTGCTGTTCTTTATTTCTTTTGAAGACCAGAATGGCAGCAGTCAGAAAAAAAAACACAATTGAATTTAACGAAATTTTCACCAATCCTGAGTCACAAAGTGAATCAGATGCAGAAACTGAAAGTGAACCGGAAATTGGTGAAAATAATGAATCAGATACAGAAATTGTAGATGAATCGGAGACTAGCAAATATTGTGACTCTAAGGTCGAGAGTCCTACGAAAGTTTTCGATGATGAAGATGTTTCATCATCTTGTAGTTCAACTTGCACTTCAAGATTGTGAAAAAAAATCAAATTTTAAGCCAAAATTATTCCAGTTTCAAAACGATGGTTGTGGAATCGCTTGTGACTTAAATGGAGAGTCATTGTTAGGCTTTTTAAAGTTATTTTTTGATCAAAAGTTGATTCCCATTATTGTTGATGAGACAAAAAAATTTCAATTAAACTCATGTGATAAACATATATCGTCATCATCACATCAAGCAGAATGGATTCCAACTGATTTTGAAGAAATGTATCTTTCTCTGGCAACCTTCATGTTGATGGCGCATATGAAAAAGTTCAAAATTAAAGATTACTGGTCAACCGATCCCTCGATAGCAACGCCAGTTTTTTGGTGATATCATGGCTAGCGACAGATTCTTACTACTTTTGAAATTTCTGCATTTTAATGATAATACATATCAAACCTGAAGGAGACAGATCATACAAGATGAAATCTGTCGTGCAAGATTTGAAGCAAAAGTTCCAACGTATTTTTGTTCCATATCAGAACCTATGCATTGATGAAAGCTTGGTACTTTACAAAGGGAGATTAAGTTTCAAACAATACATTCCAGTCAAACGAAGCAGATTCGAAATTAAATTATTTGCTTTGTGCGATTGTCACACTGAATATATATTGGATTTCGTGATTTACATGGGATCTGCAGCAGAGATTCATCATAGTAAAGAGCTTGGAATGCCAGGATCAGTTGTAATGACTCTTATGCAATCGTATCTTCAGAAAGATCACAATTTATTCATGGACAGGTGGCATTCAAGTCCAATCCTTTTCGAAGAGTTACACGCGAACTCAACAGGAGCCTGTGGCACTGTGCGATAGAATTGCCTCGGCATGCCATATTTTATTAATACGTTACAAAAGAGTGACAGTGACAACCGGAACACAAACATTTTACTTGTGGTAAAATGGTTTGACAAGAGAGAAGTCATCATACTTTCAGCAATACACGAAGCAAAACCGATGAATACTGGAAAATTTCACTGGAAAACTAATGAACAAATTCAAAAACCAGCCTCTGTGGTAGCCTACAATACAAATATGGGTTCCATTGGCAGATCCTATATGCAGATTAGTTGTGTTGAATGTATTCGAAAGATAACGAAATGGTACAAGAAACTTTTCTTCCATTTTCTGGATTTATTTGTGCTCAATTCGTTTCTTTTATACAAACACAAGACTTGTAGCAATATTCGGCTCTATGAGTTTCAATTACAGTTAATTCGTCAAATCATTGAGATGTATGGAAAGTCAAAAGCACCAAGAGGTCGACCTAGCTTTGAAGAAAATCCTAATAGACTTATGGGTCACCATTTCCCGTCACTTATACTGTCAACGACCGCAACAGAAAATCCTAGAAAACAATGCGTGATCTGCGCAAATACAACAAGAAAAGCTAAAAAGAGAGCTGTTTCCAGATACGAATGCACTGACTGTAACGTCGGACTTTGTATTTCTGATTGTTTTCGCGATTATCATATGTTGAAATACTTCTAAATGTTTATTCTTTATATTTTCCAATAAATACATTGTTCAGCATTTCAAAAAAATGTATTTATTTTTGCTACAGTAACCCCGTTCTCAAAGAGTTAACAACTGATGCATCTGATATTGGTATTGGTAAGATTTTACGCCCAGATGTACCACAAGGTACAAACATTAATTATTTCAAATCTCACATCTTAAACGATACTGAACGCAGATATGATACATTTGAAAACGAAGCTTTGGCTATTTATTAGGTGTATTACTGAACTTCGGTCTTATATAGGTGACTCTTCTTTTATCGTTGAAACTGATCATAAACCACTTGAACATTTTCATCAAAAACAAATTAATAATAAACGTGTGATGAACTGGACTTTTAAATTACAGGACGTTTTACCGCAAATCGTTGCCATTAACTATCATCAAGATGCCAATAACACAGCTGCTGATTATATCTCACGCCATTTTTCTCCATATGTAAACACTCGTATGAGCTTTTCAATTGTCCATCAAATCGATGCTGACTTGTCAACTGGTCCTGAACAATGGTCAAACGAAATACCAAAACCACAACATACACAATTCATTGCACAACCGGTTTCAACAAATACTTTTCCTTATACGACTGATCTTAATTTAGAACTTAATGCCATTACAACCCGAGCACAAGCTAAATTCCTTGTTCAATCTAAACTGCCAACAGCCACTATTTCAACAGCACCTATAAAGGTTCAAGCTCTATCTGTTTCTTCATCTTCGGCTAACTCCTTATATGATTTTAGTCTATCACGTATTCGTTCTGAACATGAACAGGACCCAGGTGTTCAACAAGCACTGCGAGAAGTTCGCAACGAACCAGATGATCAACTATTTATTCTACAGGACGGTATTCTTTATAAACTTGTTAGCAGAGGTGCTATCAAAATTAAAGTACTCTATGCACCCGCGAAATTAATTCCAGAATTACTAGCTGCTCATTATGATCATCCGTCAAGTGATCATTTTGGAAGGCTATTAAAGTCGAAGTGATCTGTATGAATGCCTATTATTTATCACTTGCTTCATGAGTTTTCCTTATAAATCTAGAAAATTATTTATTAATCTAAAATTATATTTTATCTGTAATTTTGAAAGTAAAATTTAACAAATTATCGCTTGTATATTTACATACATAGTTAATCTTACTCAAAAAATGAACATTTGAAAATGAAAAGTCGGTATTCTGTTCGTTCAATATACTCATTCATGAAAAGGGTAGAAATGACTCATCAGTTAAAAGTCGAAGAAAATATAAATGAATCCTCGAAATATTTACTTTCTATTTTTATTCAATTTTATTTTATTTTAGTACATTCGTATTTTGTTACACATTCTGTCAAAAACGAAAATGAGTACTTCTTTGAGTACTCATGCTTTCATCCACAAGTAAATTTTAGAGAAACAAATGATACGAGTACTTGCTCGAGTACACGTAAATTTTAACTACACATAAAACTTCTCGAGTACTAGAACAAGTAATTTGAGTACTCCGGCTGATAAGTCGTACTCGCTTCATGAGTATTTTCACTGGGGTGTTGTTGTTCTTTCTATTGTAAAGGAAGTCCTATTGATACAATTGAATTCCAAATCAATAATAAATATGATACATTCAGTAAAGGGTCTTGAACACTCGATGGCATTGAATGAGATGAAATGATTGAATTTTTTTCAGGATTCATATCTATGTGAAAAATACAATCATATGTATGATTTCATGTTATAAGTAGATTTGTCTTCAAATATTTTACTTTTATGATCAATAATATTCGATGTAGGTAAACTCTGTTAATTAGACTAGAAGAGCGAAATATATTGACCGTATGGTATTCTCTTGTAGTTAACTTTTATTGATGCAGTGCGCAGCACAGAATTTATGTAGTCCGTCATGTACGCATCCAAAGTCAACATTTTGTAACGCAATAATCTTGAGAACGAAACTTCTCAAGAGAAAAACAGCGGACTTGAAGTCGAAAAGTACGTAAGAGTACAAAAGTAACTTCAAGAAACATCAAGTTGATTAAAGTGCATTGAAGTAACACCAAGTGCATCTAAAGTACGGAGAAGTAGTTCCAAATACGTGTAAGTACCATAAAGTCGTTCGAAGTACTTTCAGAAGTATGGAGAAGTAATTTCAAGTACATTCAAAGTTCCATGCAGTAACTTCAAGTACCTGCTAAGTATCATGAAGTGAATTCAAGTACGCCAAAGTAGCTGAAGTACCCCGCGAAAGATTGAAAGGTCGCTATAAGAAACAAAGCTAAGGTGGCCAAATATGAAAGATTACTTTATGACTTTGCTAAGCAACGAAAAACCATCAGTAAAAAAGCAATAAAATACAAAACATAGTATAGTAAAATCTCTATTAGTGAACACCTCTCATAGGCGAACACTTTCCAACTCTGAACTTGAACACTGTTTTACAGTCCCGATTGCTGTTATAGCCTCTCTGAGATGAGCACACGTGAATGCTTTCTCTCTCTTCTCTCTATCGTTTCTGACTAATTCACTAAAATGTCTATTTATTGTTCGTTACAGCTGTACATACCAGTCGAACAATGATTTCTCGACATCGTCTTATATTAAAAGAAACAATTCAACTAATTAATGATAGCAGTGGTGATCAGTGGCGGAGCTAGGGGGGTGCAAGGGTGGGCTGAGCCCACCCTACAGACCTTCGAACCCCCCCCCCCCCCCCCCGCCCGCGCGGGGAAAAGAACATCTCTCCTCCACTCTGTTTTTCTCTTTCTTTTTTTGTTTTTTTTCATT